GATTTACGAGTAACGAGATTGCAAAGGCCTCGCCAAATGGAATCCTGCGGTTTATCGATTGCGCTCTGGATATTATTACACTTTTCTCTCAAAATATAAAAAACGATAAATTTTTAATTTTGTCATATGCCACTATATTGCGATAAAGGCAATATAAAGTATGCGAGATTATTTTAAATGTAGCTACATGAATTAAGGTAAACATAACGTATCTTTTCAGTGCGAAAGCTATTATGCTGCTGGAGAAGGATATTCATCGTTTATATTCTTCCTTCAAATTTCTGAGAAAGTGTTTTTATTATTCAGCTTACGTGGAAGAAAGCTCTCCTTTGCTATGAAATATTCAGTTTTAATGCTAACGGTAAGAGGCTGAATTGATCCATCGGTATTCAAAAAACCATGAGAATGGCTTATAATCTTTTTAAATATTAACGTGTTAAAATAGCGGTACTGATAGCACAGTTTCTGCCTCTAAATACATAATTTAATTAATAGACACTATTATATTTAACTACAACTTTCGCGAAATTATTTATTAAAATTAGCCTGCGTGCATAACGCGCATCGATTGTTCTCACGGGCGGAATGGCGTTAGGGTCGAAAGGCAGCTGAAGTATTTCCGGTCAGATGCGACCGCCAACCTTGAACATAATACCGATGTTTCTGAAAACTATTCCCTTCCCCAGTCTTATATATAATGATAATATCAAACGAAAAAATACCCATGAAACAAAAAAATTGAAAACGAATAATTATTATTGTGAAAGCGCATAAAGCATTCCAAAACTGCGTGCATAATATCGTTAACTATCTCTTATATTGACAATATTGGAAATATTAATAATTAATAACATTGATAAAATGCTCCGATATTTTTGTTTTGTCACATTTTTTATGTAACATTTAAATAATATTGAACATAAAAGATTGATATATCGAAATATTCAACGTCTACAGTGAAATATTCTACAGCAAAATCGCGCGGTCAAATTTAAAGAAAAATACTGCAGTATTTATTCACTTGGATGGAACCTTAAAGAACATACGGTTTAAAGTTACACCGAAGTAGTCCATTCGTCTCGCAGACTACTCGACTTTTAAAATTTATTTTTCTTTTCACGTGCAACGTATAAACTTTACCACTTACATGCATCTGTTCCTTTCTGCACGGTCCAATTTTTTTCCGGAAGATCGCGAGAAAAAATTGCGTTTGCACTCACTCGCTCGCGTTTGGGGCTTAAAGTGAATAATTAACGCTTCAGTCGGACTAATTTTCCGGAGGAAACCAAGCGGCGTGGGTATTTCCGGTTATGCAGCGCGATCCTGACCTCGAGCGCGGTTTTTTTAGTAGCCCACCGTCGCGATATTACGACCGCAGACGATTCTATCGCGAAGAGCGGAATTCCAGAAACAGCCAGAAAGCATTATATCGATCGATCGCCCGCCCGCCGAGTATAACGACGGACGGAGAGCCGTAACGAGCCGCCGGTGGCAGCCGTAGCAGACTTTTTTTCCCTAGCAGTCGGCGACGATGACTCAGACTGCTCGCCGTTTGTATTGTCCCGAGGGACCATAACGCAGTATTACATCGCCGAGGATGTTAGGATGTTAGAGGAAGAAATCACAGGAAGGGGCCCGACCTGTATTTTCCCGCAAGGGACGTCTGTACACTTCGCCTGACGTGAAAATAGAATACACGAAACTCTTCGTAACTTAATTCTATAAAGTAGATTTATACTGTATTATAAAAAAAGTAGTGCAAAATAGCGACTATTGTAGCGGGTTATTTTGGGGCAACTTATTATAGCATGTGCGTAAATTTCCACATGTATGTAAATGTATAGTTTATGAGTAAAATTAACTTTTAATGTTGTAATTGAAGCAGATTGCACAAGTAAATTTAAAGTTATTTTATATACGCACGCAGTAATCCGAAAGTAATGCACATTTTTTTCCAAGATTTCTATTTCTGGTTTTATCCGTTAATTTTTTATTTACTAATAAAATTTTTTTTTAATTTTACCCGCAATCTAAATTTAGACACGTGTAGAAAATTACACTTATTGTTAGTTGATCTCAAAATTATTTACTAAAATCATTATAGTTTGATACTAATTTTTTTACAGTATGACAAGTTGATACGATTTTGTCACATTGTTCAGATAATATATTGCAGTTAATTGATTTAATCTTTTTATTTAAACGTTCACAGTTTCTTTTTATAAAGCTGAGAGCAAGATTCCGTAGTATTCTATTATAATATCATTATTATTGGAACAACTGACGCGGAAATATAAATAAAAATCTCCTGTAATACCACCGTATTATTACCTCTTTGTTACAAGTGCAAATTGAGTATATATTATTTTCAGTGCTTGGGATAATAATTGCTCGTCAAACGATGAAACACCCCGTAGGAACACCCTTGCACCCCGTTATTATTATCCACCAAGTGGATTACGCGACAGATTTTTATCGGTCTTATTATAATGGACTACCCCATTGCACGCGGCGACGATGGCGGATTCGACGCGTGAAATATCTCGGAGCGAAATATTGATTCGCGCGATCGATGGGTCGCAAACAAGAATCCAGGTCATTCGGAAGAAAATAATGACGTAATGCAGCCTATCTGATATTTCTTCATTGGCGCTCGAAAAACTGATCGGACTGTCATAATATTGTGACACGCTCGAGGCGATTTTCTTGCCAAGATAACCAAGATTTAATACCACGAATAAATCGCAAAAGATCGCAAATATTTAAAGGAGAAGCTTCGATAGCAGGCAACTACATAAACGAATTAATGAACGGCAAATTTTTCTCCTCTCAACACTCGTTTGCCGAGCGAATCAGTTCCTTTCCTTTTCTACGGCATTTCCGAATAAATCTGCCCAGGTTTGCGATACCAAATAAAACCAAGAACTATGTTCTTGATACCATAAGTTTCTATCTCGCAGATAAAAGTTTACTGGGCAAAGTTGCGGCGTATTCGAGACCAAGACATTCAACTAAATTAAAAGGATTTTTATCCAAAGCTATCACCCGCTGCAGTATAAAACAGGGTTCTGCTGACATTTAAATGTTTGCCGTAATGCAACGATGTAACTGTTTATAAAGTATATATTATAAAGTAGATAGCGAAGGCTGCTTAATCGCGACTGCTGAAGTAGCGAGATACAGGCGGTAAGCCCGCTCTCATCGGCGCGGTTGCACAGCTTTTACGGTAATTACAGTAGCGCAGTGGAGATCTTTCGCCGGCAGTGTTTACTTTCTTGCGGGATAATGTGCAAGAAGTTAGCGTTAGTATCTTACGATATAACAACTGTGCACATCAACGTGTCACGCTATGACGTATGAGGTAACATTACTTTCCGCCTGAAAATTGAGCAAGGAAATGTGTGCCTTCATGGTCAACGTACGCTTTCCAATATTTCGAAAGTGGGACACTAGAAAATCTATTTTTGCGTGTCTGTGGTCCGCGTGTTAAACGATTGTTAAATAATCGTATAAAATACTTCGAAGAGAATTGTCAGAAAAATTGTCCGCCAAAAACTAACGTTAAAACTAGAAAAATTCTACGATTTCTTTGGACCTTGTGTTATTTGTTAAATTTCTTATGTTGATTAAAGATAAAGAAAATAAGAATTTATGAAATATTATTTCGCTTGTTCGACTTTATACACTTTCGTTATCCATTGTGTACAGTTGTTATTTAGAATTGAAAGCGAGCATTATAGATGAACGATGTGATACTCAGTTCGCATATTTCCGCTATTGATGCTTATAGTTCTCTAAGGTTGAGTGACATATAAACTTCTACTGAATCGATAAGTACGTTGGTACTCAATGACCTTACAGTGCAGTTTGCATCTTAATACCTGCTTTACGTATTACCATAATCGACTAATGCCCGACAAACTTTCAAAGAATTTTAACTATGATCGGAAATATATATTCTGCGAAAATGCTTGTTGAATACAATGTCGAAATTTATGCGAATTTATTATCGCAAATTTTATCGCTTATATTAATTGGAAATTAAAATCGATATCGCGATCATTTATATGGCTGCATGCTGCACTAATTAGCGATAATTGCCTTACCGCAACGCATGGGCGTCGGCGAGTGAAAATGCGAATTCGCGATTTGCGTATGTCACCCGAACGTGAAATAAAATTTTGACAAAGGTCAGGGTTCGCTGACGGTTTCTAATTCAATCGATAAAACAAATCGATGCGTGCACAACGGTGCTCATGGCAGCGTGCACGCCCGGCGATGATTATGGATATGTCAAAGGCGCAATGTGCTTTGATTGAAGGCTTTGTATAGGACCCTACTACGTGCATTCGCACGTGAATATGTGCGCCGCCGTGCACATTTTTGCGACGTGGGTGTGTATCAACCACAGCGGCAAAATTCATCCGTGGATCTTTTGATCAAATTCGCTTTTTTCGATAAAAAAAGTGTCAAAGTGATAATAGAGCTTTTAAACTGTATTAATCTGATAATCAAATATTTTTTGTCCTTTTTTAAACTTAGCGATATGAAAGAAAATAGAAAGTTATATTGTATCGCTTCTTTTTATCGATTATATTGAAATAATATAAAAATTAGATATGAAGTGAAAAATAATTTCATTATATAGTTATATGATTAAACTATTATGACAAATGCAACAATTTGTTGCATAATAAATATATATACAAGGTATTTCAACCATATCATCTGTTAATAGCAGATTCTTGAGGTCCTTTGGAGATTAGAATTTTTATAGCAAAATGTCCAAGCTAATTTTTAAATGCGAAATGTTTAAAGTTGATCAATTAGATTAAAAATTCACGCGCTCAGGCACGTGCATATTAATATTTATATCCTTATCATATGAGAAATTTTAGAAATTTGCAATTAACGGATGACACAGTTAGTCCTGTATTTTACATTATTTTAAATTCTGTTCTTTTAATGGTATTAAAAGAAAACAAATTAAATTGACTTACCGGCACAAGATGCGCAGCAACAAAATTGTTCACAGGTTGATCTGTAACATTCAAATTATAGTAGCGTTTAAAATAATTATTTTAGAAGTAATTATTACACACACTAAACTTTTACTTAAATATTAAAAACTACATATCTTTTATTGAATATTTTAAAGTTTCTATGTGCGTTACGTTGTATAATGTTTTGCAAATAACGGATAACAAATGAATGATGACTGCCGAGTCCAACAAGTAATGACGGAAAGGGCAAATCGAAAAGTACAAAAAATAATAAGTATACCGAACGATCTGCTCCACACAAGGTGTCACTGTGCGAATAAGATCGCGCTGATTCCGATTTGAGAGAATAGGATATAACAATATACATCTCGATACGTAGCGCAAGAGAGAGTAAAAGAGAGAGGATACAGATTACGCAGGCTAAGCGCAACGAAAACAACCCCATCAAACACTTCGAATCGATCTCGAAACTCTTAACTCTCATTAGAGTATTTACCAAACATTTATCGAAATCGAATTAAAGTCGATGCAATCAATGAAATTTTAAACTCGATAAATATTCAATTCGAGCGATTAAAGATTCTCGTTTCCAAACGACCTCAGGAATCTGCTATTAACGGATACATTAGTCTGAGATATCCTGTATATGCATTTAACGCAAATGCATGGCAATATAAAGACACGATTAATTTTTTGCACCGGATTTTGCAATTTACTTTCTTTCATTTGCTATATTAATTAATTGCGTTTTAATAGTCGCTGTTAATAGAAGAATTTTTCTACCTTTGACTCACATCAAAGTATTTAATTAAAGAGATATTGTCACGCACTATGTATCATGAAATTATTATCGGATCTCACTGATAATATTAGCGAATTATTACGTTATGTAGTATAAAACTATACGATTGCTAATATTAGTGATTAATTATTATTATTAATTATTGTTTTATCTATTAATGATATTGATCTACTATTTATAATGAATATGATACGTGATTATATAATATTGTATTTATAATTCATTGAAAATAGACTATGTATTGTGTAATGTATTAAACTGTATTTGTGTAATAATGCGAGGACATTAACCTCATTGTGATGTGGCTATTATGTTAAACAACAGAAAGCCAATGATCCTTTTTAGGATTAGGGTTAGGGTATTATTTTAGGATTTAGGATCCTAATATAATTCTATCCATTTAGGATAAAAAATTTATAGGGCATTCTTGTATTATATTCTCAGAATAAGCAGAGTTCAAAAGGACATAAATAGGAATGTCGTTGTAAAGAAAGTAAAAGATACGGTAAAAAATTGTTCTCAAGCCTGCATAGAACGTTGTGCGAATAAGTGGCATGTATAGGCACCACCTGTTACCTCGGAAGCGAAACTGGCGCGCGTTCCAATTAGGGGAATGAGCCTCCTCCTTTTATCGCCGTTCTCGCGCGCGACGCGGAACGAGAGGGAAACCGCGAATAAACATTCTCCCCTTCTCATATCTCATTTCACAAGGCACGATAAAACGGCTCGACGTCGGATGGCCTCTGACTGCCCTTTCGTGAAGGCAGCGCTTCCTTTTCTGCGGTTACTTGAGAAGAAAAGAAAGCTACCGCAGCAGCTAGAGATGATTGTAAGTTAAAATACGGAATTCTCACATTTCGTTTGAATAGTGTCTGGATTTCGATTTTTTTCTTTGCTTTAAAAAACATTGTGAGGTTAGAATGTTCGTGAACCTAGCATATCATTTTCCAGCAGATCAAAAATAAAAGAGAGTTCTTGTCGCATGCAGTCGAGTTCTATAGTTCCTTATAGTTTTTAGTAATAGTTCTGGTGATTTTATCCAAAAAAACACCAATCGAAAAAATGATCTGCTAACTTCCCGTAGCAGATCATTTTCTAGCAGATCAAAAATAAAAGAGAGTTCTTGTCGCATGCAGTCGAGTTCTATAGTTCCTGATAGTTTTTAATGATAGTTCTGGCGATTTTATAAAAAAAAACACCGATCGAAAAAAATGATCTGCTACGGAAAGTTAGCAGATAAAAAATAGAGGACACTGAACATATATGTGATATGCTGGCCGTATATTGATAGTTCTGCTAATAATTAAAGAGTTTTCGTGTAGTTCTGGGCGAGTACATTGCTTTTCCAAAGAGTTCTGACGACTAAAATAATTAGAAAATTTTTTAAACAATTATTTTACCCGAAAAACACGCATTTTCGCAACATATATGTCTGTCCTTCTCTACTCCCCGAAGCTAGCTGAACTGCCGAGCGCACCGGACACGGCTCGAGCTTGCCTTAGTTACCTCCATTATATGTCTCGTCTGCTACCGGGCTCAGCGCGTGGCATCACTGCTCCCCACTCTTATGCACATTCTCTGAGTATAGCAGTGGGGTGACGTAGCGATTATTTCTCACTTCTTAGCGTCGTCGCTGCCACAATTGCTTCTTGTTCGGTGTAAAGTTCGAGTAGCATGAGATTTCGCGAAATCTCATACTTCTATTGATATGAACTGCGCTCTTGTATTGTATTGTCATA